ATTTCACCCAGCCCAATTCCTTATTTGCAAATATGAATGAACAAAAGATCATTAGATCATTTGAAGATCACCACATAATAAAATCCTGAAATTGAAGGAAGGAATTGAATAAACTGAGCAACCAACAAGTGAAAACAAAATAATTCAGGAAAGATGTCATTAAGTAATTATAAGTAATATCTATATATATATAAAAGCCTAATATGCAAAGTGTCCCCTCAGGAGTTCAACTGGGAGTTCAATCGCTTTCTATGATATGCGCTGACCACCAGGGGGTGACATGGAATAAAGGAAGGCCCTGCCGGCAGCCAGCAGCTAAGGAAGGGAGGCCCCAGCTGGCAGCCGGCAGCTGCTAGGGACCCTACCCATGCAGGAATTTTGTACACAGGGCCTCTAGTTTCTAAATAATTTAAAAAGATATTGAGTCCATCAAAAATGAACAAGATGGTGTGGAAAAAACACACAGAGTTCAATAATAAGAAAGGTTTGTTGCAAAATATGTTGACTAAAACAATCATTGATAGAGTTGAAGAATAAAATGAAATCATCTGAAGGTTCAGTCAACATCTGGAAAATAAAATTAAGCAACTCTACCAGAACATAGATCAAAAAGACCAAGAGAGAGCCCTAGCTGGTTTGGCTCAGTGGATAGAGCATTGGCCTGGGGACTGAAGAGTCCCAGGATTCATTGCAGTCAGGGGCATATGCCTGGGTTGCAGGCTTGATCCCCAGTAGGGGGTATGCAGGAGGCAGCCGATCAATGATTCTCTCTCATCATTGTTGTTTCTATCTTTCTCTCCCTCTCCCTTCCTCTCTGAAAAAAAAAAAAACAAGATAGAAAATATAAGCATTTCAGAAAAAGCAAACAGAAACAATAAAGAAGAAATTATTGAAGAAATAACAGAAGGTTTGACTCACTTAAATAAAGACACATGACTACTGCACCTGGTAGATCATGTAAAAAAAAAAAAAGCTCAATATCTAAATACATTGAAATGATAAACATTCCCAGGAAAACAAAAATCTTAAAATTCCAGACACTGGAAAATATTTATATAAAAAGAAAGACAATGGTATGAACATTGTCATCAGACTTCTTATCAGTAATATTGGTTTCTAGAAAAGAATCACTGTTTTCAAAGGTTAGAGGAAATATACATTATATCTGAAAAATACATTGAATAATAATTACATATCTTAGATATTGTTTGTTGACTTTCAATTTTTAGGATTAACCAATTGACAAGACAGTAGATTTAATTACAGCTAGAGAACAGAAAGTTGTTATTAATAAAAATTGGGTAGTAGAGGGGAAGTGAGAAAGAAAGAAGGTATTGTAGAAGTATTGGGCACTCCAACTTTCAAACTGAGAATTCGACATTTTTGTAAGTTGGTAAATCAAGAAAGGGAGAAACATAGATTTTTTTTAAAAAGATATAATTGTAACTACCAGGAAAATTAATAATGGAAGGTATTAATTCTGAATAATTCCTCTGGGGAATACAATGTACTCTCCTATAGTGTATGATTTTTCCCCCATGAATTATCTACACTAATAAAAGAGAAAGATGCAAATTGACCATACATTCACGACGCCCACCAGCCAATCAAGAGTGAGTATGCAAATTAACCCAACAAAGATGGCGGGTTAATTTGCATACGCAGGCGCCGAGCGGCCGGGGGCAAGGCAAGATGCTTGTGTCATCACCATGGCGATGACACAGGCATTCTGCATTGCCCCTGGCTGCTCTGGGCCTCTGGGCAGTGTGGGAAGGCGGAAAGGCGGCTCCAGCTGGAGCAAAGGTGGAGCCAGCAGCCAGGGGAAGGAAGTCCCATTCCTGCATGAATCTTCATGCATCAGGCCTCTAGTATTATATAACTATACACACATATATATGTAACACTAGAGGCCTGTGCACTGGTGGGGTCCCTTGGCCTGGCCTGTGGGGATTGGGCTGAAACTGGCTCTCTGACATCCCCCAAAGTGTCCTGGATTGCAAGAGGGCACAGGCCAGGCTGAGGGACCCCACTGGTGCATGATCAAGGCTGGGGAGGGACTGTGGGAGGGCTCCAGAATGTGTCCAGCCTGTCTCGCCTAGTCCCGATCAGCTGGACCCTAGCAGCAAGCTAACCTACTTGTTGGAGCGTCTGCTCCCTGGTGGTCAGTGTGCATCATAGTGACTGGTCCAACGGTCGAACGGTTGGAGGGACAATTAGAACATTAGGCTTTTATATATAAAGATATGTACATGTGTATATATAAGAGTGATGTCTGAATAGGATCTAAATGGGGCTAAGATAAGAATGAACTTTACTAAGAGGCTGTGGCTTTTGAGACCAACCTGTGCTTGATTTCTGCAGGGTTCCAGCTCCCTTGTTGGGCTATGTGTACCGTTTCAATAACTACTCCTTTTACTTGAGCTAGCTTGAGAAGGACTTTTTGTGCAACCAAAATCACTCTCATTGAAGAGAATCCTGAAAACTGTGTTTACTTTGCATTCAGAAAGGAAAAGGGGCCTGTGATTGCTGTCCCCTCAGACAACAGGATGAGTGGGTTCCACTTCTGTGCAATCCCAGCCTATAACACAAGAACTTGGTGCATGAGACTGAGATTACTTTAAGAAAATGTTCTAAAATAATTTTTTTAAAAAGAGTATATTTTTTAAAGTGGCTTAATTTATTTTCTTTTTATAAAATTCTTGGGTTATTGGATTGGAGGTTCCAAGATATTTCTCAGAGACTTCAGTCTTCTAAAATGGTGTTAGGAGAAAAGAAAAAATAAATAACCTTAACATTCTCTTTAGTAACAGCTTTGTTTTTCTGATCCAGAGATAACAGAACCTAGACTGAATTCTAAACCTTCAAAACATGGAACAGCAAAGCTGTGTGGAAAATGTCAGACTGACCCTTCCCCCAGAGAGCTCTCCTAGCAGGCTGAGAAAGAGAAAAGCTACCCCTGAGAGCAGGCAACTGGTCTGATACCTTCAACCAGGCATTGGTATCCTCCTGTTGAACCCCAAAATTTCACAGAACAGCAACACAGAAGGCCACTTTGTGAGTGTGATGGGTCAAGACAAAAAGAGGACAGGACCACTCTGCAATCATATCTAAATACAGACCAAACATGAATATTGTCTAAACGACGAACATGAACAAACATTCCTCTACCTAAGAAGTTTTATTAAGACCCCAAATCACAGAATTAAACCCACTTCCTGAAATCAGCCCCACTTTGTTAAGCCCTCCCCAAAATCACCTAACACCAACCCAAATCCTTTCTAATCAGTCCTTGCTGAGCTTTCTCACACCTTTTTCTGAGATGCGCCATGGTTCTCCATGGAGCGTGCTCTTCTCTGAAAGAGTAATAACCCAATTTGCTCAGCAACAGATGTGTTCCTGGTGGTGCTCAGCTGGTGGGTTTTGACAGACCTTAGGCCTGCCTCGTTTCTCGGCTCCACTCCTATTATTGTCCCAGGTCATCAAAGAGCAGCTTTCTTGGACTAGCTTTCTTGGTCCAGGCAACAATCACCAACATTTACTAAACACTTATTACCTACCAGGTGATTTATATGGATTAACTAATATGATCCCCACAATGGCCCTATGAGTCCATAGGCTTAGTACCCCATTTATAGATGGGGAAACAGGTTACAAAAATATAAGTGGCTGAGCCAGGAGTCCAAGGCAGCAAGTTGGCCGGGTGCTATGGCTTCCATGTCCATGCCATGCTGCCTTCTGCTGGACTGGCGGTCTACTGTGCTCTAGCACTTCAGGGAACAGTGGGTGGTCATAGGCCACTGTGTCATCAGCCTACATTGAAGGGTACTATAACAAGCAACCCCAGGATATCACTGCTGGGTTTCCTGTAAGCTATGAGAGAATGCAGACCCACAGGAAAAAGAAAAGTCCCTCCCTACTCACAGTACCAGAAATAAATGAACTTCTTTAAGCGGCTGTGTTATTTATTTATTTTACCTAAGAAGATATTAATCATCTACTTCAGAGTTTTCAACCTAACTTTAAGAAAGGTATGGTAGGATTTTAAGTTGAATAAACCTAACCAAGAAAGGATTTCCTTTGCATTTTTCTTTCAATTTTACTAATGTGGTCAAAAAAGCATTCTGGCTTGGTAGTAATATGAGTGGTTCTCTCCCTAGAAAATGGGACACTGAAGCACAGAGCCCTGGAGAGCAATGATTAATGCTCAGGGAGATTTCAGGGACTTACTTTCATTTTATTTACTTTTGTAATTACCTCTCATCTATAGCCTACCATATTGATTTTCCATTTACAAGTGGTATAAAGTTTCCTTTTAAAATTACTTCATTAAAAATCTGAGTTTGTTTAAAGGAAAACGTTAAGTAAATAGTGGTACAGGTGGTAGGAGACCAAACAGGGAACCAGAAGTCATTAAGGTATTTCGGGAAACCCTGACTTCAGTTTCCTCTTTGCCCCGGATGCTGGAAAGACCAGAGTTTAATTTATTGGTCATTGACCTCAAGGTGCAGTTCATTCCCTGCTCCATTTATTTCTCCTTCTATTCTAACTCCTGGCTCTCTGTCTTCTATCTCCTTCCTCAAGTGCCCCTCTGCCTTCTTTTCCTCTACAACATGCTTTCAGAAAAAAGTGGTGGGGGTGGACGATGAGAGTGGCAGATGACACAATAAAGACTATTTCTTTACTAGCACTGTGTCCAAAGAGTAGAAGTGACCGGTCACCCATGGATGAGGTTCAAGGAGCTCTCAGAAAGCCCGGGTTGTTTCATTTCCTCTAGTCCCTGGAAGTTGTAGTTCTCCCTTCTGGGCAGAAACCGTGTTCCCAAAACTGCTGGGGCAGCAGATTCTTTGGCTCTCCTCCGTTCCAGCGGAGAGTCACCACGACAGCCTGTTCCTGTAAGAAGTGTGAGTGAATTCAAGCTCTGCAGAGGAAAGCAAGGGGGAGATGACCCAGATGCGTCCTCCTCCCCCTTGCTGGCTATGCAGCACCCTGTCCACCTCTCCTCCTTCGGATCCCTCTCCCTCGGAGTAAGGAAGTTCTTAGGGACTCCAAGGAGGCCGGGGTTGATAGAGGGCAGGGATGGAGACTAGCTCCCGGGCATGGGAGCGGGGTGGGCAGCGCTGGAGAATAACGCCCAGGAGCCGGGGCTGCGAGCCCCAGACTCCCGGGAAAGTCCAGCAGTCTAGAGAAGCTGGGCTTAGAGGCGCCCCTCTTTGAAGAGTTCTCAGGAAGTTTGGGGGAGGGGCGAGTCGCTCTCTCTTGTAGAAAGCGAGCGGGAGGCTGAGGAGGGACCACAGTGGCAGCAGGTCTCAGAGCTGTCACGTTCCTGCTCACGGGCGGGGCCGGTGCTCCTGGCGGGGTCTGCGGGACCAGAGAGGGCCGAGGGCAGAGCGCGCGCCGGCATGGAGGGACTGGTCCTGCTCAACGCCCTGGTCACCCGGCTGCTGTTCTTTCTGCACTCGCTCATTGGGGTCTGGCGAGTGGCCGTGGTGAAGAAGGAGCCGAGGTACTGGCTGCTGGCGCTGCTCAACCTCTTGCTCTTTCTGGAGACTGCGCTCACCCTCAAGTTCAAGCGCGGCAGAGGCTACAAATGGTGAGCGCACCCCGGAGGGGATGGGAGGGCGCGGAGTCTCCGGGCACTGTCCCCCATGGTACTCGCGGGCAGCCCGAGAGCCTTCCTTCCGAAGCCCACCAACTCTTCACTGGGATTGTGACCCCCCCTTTGTTCACGCTGGGAGCTTGGAAGGAGTGCGAGATGCTCCTTGGGCACCTCAGGGTCCCAGGGCATCACTGGGAAGACTCCAATCACAGCCAGGCGTCACCCAGTCCCAGCTTTGGCAACTTGGAAAATGAGAAAAAAGAAACGAATCGTTTGCTTGTTCTGCAGAAAGTGCTCCAAATGGGGGAGTTTGGGGGGCAAGGGGGTGTCATGTGACCTGCTTTCTGAATTGGGGTGTGTGTGTGTGTGTGTGTGTGTGTCTGTCTGTGCGCGCGGGTTACTCTGCATACATGCAAGTATGGGAATGCCCTTCGCTGGCCATCAGGGACTTTGGCAAGAGCTTGTGTGCTCGGGACAGCGATGAAAAGCGACAAGACCCTGACCGCACAACAGTCTGTGCTTTCAGCCGCTTAGCTTCCTTCCAGCCCTGGAGGTCCGACATGGCACCAGCTTCAGGTGTCTGGGTTTGGTTGCTTCGGAGCTTGGCTAATGGTCAGCTCATCTGGTCCAAGATGGGTAGCCACGCTGGTGGAGGGACCAGCAGGGGGTGGTTCAGACTTAACCTCAGTGTCAAGAATTACATGCTCAGCGTGATGCTCATTTCCTCCCCCAAAGACTTGAATACAATAGAAGAAATGAGAAAAGGATTCCCTTGCCATTCACAAAGAACCTCCACCTTCTTCCCTCCATTCCCAGTAGATTTTCATCCCAAAACTTTTCCAAGATTGGCCTCTTCCTATATTAATTTTTAAATACAGTGAGGCTGTGTTTTCATATATGTCAATTGGGTAGTTTTATAACTACCCAATTCTATGAGAAAGAAAAAAATAGTATTAGCCAGTTCAAGAATTACACACAGCATGCAATTATAGTTAGCCACCATACTGAGGGACTAAAAACAGAACAAAACAAAACAAAAACACCTCTCTACAGTTTTACCTATCAAACTACAAAAGACTGTATTTCATGATAGTGCAGGGGATGAATGTGTTGTCTCTTAAAATGATGTAAATCTTGCTTAAATTTTTCACTGTTGAAAAATTTCTAAAATTACCAATGAAAAAAAGTATTTGAGTAGGATCTTAATTTAATACAATAAGAATTGGAATGTTGTTGCCCCCTCTCCCTCGCCCCACCCCCAATCCCCTATGAACAGCTTATAAGCAGGGGGTAGTTAAGGTACTTTCCAGTGTGCCTTTTGGAATATCTCAAAGAAAAAATGGTGTTAGCTTCTCAATGGTATCAGTGTTAAAGAAACAAAAGGGGAGAAAAGTGTGCACCTACCAGGTCATATGAAATTAATTTAGTTTTTACTGAGTCACTTTAAAATGCTAAGGTAGAAAATATCTTCAATAATAGGAAGATGAAGTCTGAGATGTGAAAAATGTTCTACCACCAAGCATTAGAGCTTCTGGAAGAAATGTCAACCTCAGAAGAGGGATTAGCTCAGTGGGCTCTGAAATATACCTCCTCCCTCTCCAAGAGTAAACCAGAGTCCTTAGCTCACATTAAATCAAAATTTCCCTCCAGCTGTATAGAAACACTATAGCTAATGGTCCTTCATGTCTATATTATCACTGAGGGCTTATTCAGACTAACATGTAACTTACAACCAAGAGAGGAGAAGAAAGTTGAGGCAAAAATAATAGGTAACGGTCAATGTGTCAATGTCAAATAAGGGCCTGGGGACATATTCAGACAGATAATGGGGTAAAATCTGGGCTTTCCTACTTACTTTCTGTGGGGCATTGAGCAAGTTACTTGACCTCTCTGAGCCTCAGTTTTCTCAACTATAAATACTATCTCATAGATTGTTATGAATTAAATGAAATAACATGTTGATGATTAATGACTAAAAAAGGAATGGTCTTTTCTAGATCCTAGGGTTTCTCTTTTTTTTCTTCTTATTAAAAAGCATTCCTTGCTAACTGGACACCTTTTCTGTCTGTACATCTTTATTTGAGGGGCTGGTCAATAAACCATTGGTTCAGAGCCAAAAAGTAGAAAGAAAATCCTTACCTTTATTTTAGAATAGGCTCATGATGTAATTCACAAAAATTTTGCTGGCTCATTATCTAGATTAATATTTAAAAATAAGAAAAAAAATTGATAGATTTGGCTTATTATAAAATTTCAGGGACAAAGGAGTCTTTGTAAATTATCTAAATTGAAATGTGATTTGTAATGCCTTATTTTACTGATGTTATAATTGAATCTGCAAATATGGTAATTTTTGTGGGCAAAGCACTCAGGCTATTCTGTCATCTGAGAAAAGAAATCAGAAGATGGAATGAAAAAATATACAGAAAATTACCCCTGATGTAATATAGTAATAATTAAAATGTGTTTGACTTGGGACATATTTCATTCCTAGGCTGATGTTTTCTAGGTAAGGCAAGGCATAACTTTTTGTTTTTTTCTGAGTGTTAAGAAAAGTTTTCATCAGAAAACCAGGACTGATGGAATAAAAAAACACACAAAGTAAATATACGGCAGTACCTATTCATTTATATAGGAAAATGTCAATATAGATCTATATAGAGATCTATATTAGTATAGATATGTATATTTTTATTTATTGGTCTTATATTTTGCAATTTACCCTGTAGAACCAAAAGTACCTATATGTGAATATATATGTACAAAAATAATAATTTCCATCTTGTTAGAGGAAAATTAACCTAAAAGCAACCCAATTATCCATCAGTAGACTGGTTGAAAATTGTAACATACCCAAATATAGAGTAGTTTGCTGATATTAAAAACAATGAGCTAGATTTAACTATTGACCTGGAGGGATGTCCATAATATGTTGTCAGGAAAATAACGTTACAGAGTTATGTATATAAGGTCTGTTTTTTTTTTTTTGTAGAAATAGAAGTAAGTGAAACCTTCCCATACAGAATATCAATCAGTCAATCAAGTAATGCCTGAATGGTGGACTAAACTCTGTACAACACATGAGGTGAAAATTTCCTTTCTAGAACATCAAATCTACAAACTTCCTTTAGATTACCCTGAGCTAGTTTGAACATTGCTCTTTTTACTATATTTGGCACCTAGCCCCAAATAAATCAAATCTACAGAAATCATGGAACAATAAACAGAGCTATAGAGGAAAATGTGAAGAAAATTTTTTGAAATGTAGCAAACATATTACACTGGTCCAAAGAATGTTTCTTTAGCTATTCTTTGGAAAGGAAAATGGAGCTAGAGCTGCTGAGCTCAGCTGTCCAGGGACAAGCAGCATTACATCAACACTGATAACTTGCCAGTTGGAGAAATTTAACTTGTTGGAATTCTATAGGAGAGGGTAAGCCAACAACACACCCCTTGTTAAGTGCAATAAATGTATGCTAGCAGAATTTGTTTCATTTCACCTCGTGTTTATTAATTTCACCTGCCCATTTACTTATATTCCTGTAAGACAGAAATTAGTACCACCTTGCTTTATTTTGTTTTTCTATCGTCTGGGCAACAGTCCAATGGACCTGTGAATTACTATTTAGGCAAAAATCAAACAGAAGACAGTATTTCAGTTGCTTTCTAGCCAATAGTGATAACCAAGATTGTGACATGTTTGAAGCCTGTTCACTTGAGAGTAGACAGCATTTGAGAATAAGTAGAAATATAAGTTGAATTTATTGGCAAAAAACAATGATTTTAAGCACTGAGCTTTCTTCATTGGAATTTCAAAAACACAAGGTAAATATAATTGAGTTAATAAAATACTTCACCTATTTGGGCACCTCTTGTCATTATCTCTCTCCCCTCTTCCTTTATTAAGTGCAATCAGATAACTATTAGTTGAACCGTCTAATTAGTAAGCATGATACTATGTTAGACACTGCATGCACAAGCAGAGGAAATAGAAAACAAAGACTCAAAATTTTAAAATAAAAGGAATCATTTTGATTAAGCACTCAAATGTGTGGGAAGAAGAATAATTATGACTATTTAGCATTTATTAATGTTGAGGTTCTTTCAAGGTTTTATACAGATTATCCGATTTGATACTGATAGAAGCTACAATTATTTTGTTCCTCTATCTCACCCATTTTTAGATGAGAAAACAAAGGCACAGAGCTGTTAAAAATCATTTTACTTACGATCACTTAGTTGGAAATTGGGAGAGGAGGGATATTAAGACTCCAACAATTTAGAGGAGAAAGGATATGATGGGTACTACTGTGGTGGGGAGGGGAAGGCGGACAAAGGAGGCTTCACAGTATTTGATCTGTAGCAGGAAAAATAGGTAAGAGAGAGGAGTGCAAAGACTGTGTAGATAAGGGATATCCTGAGGTTGGTGAGTGTAGGGAAAGTTGAGCAGATTTCTCTGGAGCAAGTACAGAGCCTTATCATTCTTCATTCAACAAAAATATCTGGAACATCTAATATGTGTTAAACATTGTTTGAGTGCCAAGAATACACAAGTGAATAACACGGGTAAAATCCTGTCCTGAAAGAACTCACGTTTTAATCAGGGGAGCCATGAAATACCAAAGTAAATAAACAAGTGAGTGAATTAATAACAGTAAGCAAATAAATAAATGAACTATTAAAACTATGAAGGCCTTTGGGGCACGGCTTATAGAGAGAAGGAGAACCAGGGGGAAGGTTCCACTGGGTGGTCAGAGAGGCTTCTCTGGGAAGCCATTTGAGCTGAGTCCGTTAAAGCAGAGAGGGAGCTAGACATGGATGAGCCAAGGAGATGAAAATTCGAGGGAGCGATGAGCTAGCTGTGCCTTGGGACATTTCTGACATACCTCCAGAAGACAGACAAACACTGACTTCCTGTTCTACTTTTCCTTATCTCTTCTCCTCATGTATCCTACCTCCAAGGGGAAATTTTCTTCTAAATTTTATATCTTTAG